GTACATCTCCAAGACATCTCAGTCGAATAAGGTTCACAATGTTATAAAGCGACTTATCTCTCTTCCCTAGTAACCTTCCCCTGACCTGAATATTGCTCACACAGTGATTCTAAGAAAGGGAATATTTCGAAATAATGGAGAATATTTGTAGCTTAGGTGGATGGTCTTGGCTGTATTGTGTTATCTGAGCTGGGTTGTTTAATCGTGAAGCTTTCATCATCAGCACTAACTTCAGTATGAAGTGAGCTGTCAATATCTCTCCGTGAGTGATTTAGTGGCTTGCTTTGACGATGTGGTCTGTGATTGGTTGTTCCTTCGGTTGTTGTGTCATTGACTGATTGCATAGACTCTCCTTTTGGGTGTTCCTTTACTTGACCTCTGACCTTTCTGTCGTTTATCACCTTTCTTGTTGGTTGATAGATTGGGTCGACATTCTTCGTCGAAATTTCGACAATGTAGAAATTTTGGACAGAGGAAACACAAAAAATATCAGAGAATTTCTAGAAGCTTGGCATTCAGATCAGTCAGCAATCAATAGGTGTATAGACATAGACCCGATCTACCAAACAATAAGAAAAACGATAAACGACAGAAAGGTCAGAGGTCAAGCAGAGGAACAGCCAACAGGAAAGTCTATACAATCAATGACACAACAATCTAAGGAAACAACCAATCACAGACCACATCGTCAGGGCAAGCCACTAAATCACTCACGTACAGATATTGACAGCTCACTTCATACTGAAGTTAATGCTGATGATGTCGTTTAGGAAGACGATGAGAGTCCCACGACTATACAACTCAGCTCAGAGAGCATCGAGGGAATACTTTAGAAGGTATGAAGACATTTTTGAATCCTTGGTAATATAGAAAAAAGAAAGTTAAAATTGCAGATAGAGAAGTAACAGTTCCTATTACCAGTTATTCAGTCATTTTGCTACGCATTTTAAATATGCACACACACACACACAGGGAGATTATATCTAAATGCTACTATACACCTAAGGACAAATACATTCACTGGAATCACCTTTTTTATTCCTAAATGAGAACATTCAAGTGTTTTCCTAATTCATCAGTTCAATTATTAGAATTCTTCTTACTCTCACGGAGATCATTGATTGCTAAGATTATTAAACATTTCTTGGTTAAGTTATAGCAATTAAGATGTCATCTACTCCAAGTGGTACCTTAGCTAATCAAACATTGTTGGTATACTTCAAATATTCTCATTGTGATAATTAGAAAACAGAGTTTGAAGCGAATACGTCGTATTTTCGGTAAGTTCTGTTCAGGCTTTACATTTACATTTACATTGAAGACACTGTTAACCAGTAGCACAATCTCACCAGACACTTTCGAACGAATTAGGCCAGTAGGTAATGACATACCAAAAAATGTATGGATTGCTTAAAATCCATAAACCTAACATACCCATACACCCTATCTTAGATATATTCAATTCACTGTATCATGAAGTAATAAGATGGCAAACGGATATATGCTGAAACCGCTACAACAAAAGGTAGCTAAATATAGCTTAAACAACACTTATGAATTGATTTCAAAAGTCGAAGACAAGAACATTCGTGAGGAAATAATAACTTCCATGGATGTTATTTCTTTGTTGACCAATTTTCCTCTTCTGTAAATAACTAATCTCATTTATAGTTCATTGCTAGATAAAAAGATGTAGGTAGGTATATCACTTGCAACTCTACGATAGTTGCCCCTTCGTTGTAGGCTGAATGTATAATTTCAGTTTAACAAAGAAATTTACCATCAAAGAGGTGTGGCACTGGTTTACCATTAGGTCCTCTTCTAGCCGACATGTTTATGGCGAAATTAGTAAGTGGACCACTGTGTAGCATGACAGATAAAGTAACCTTTTACTGTAGATATATGAGTGACACTTTCATTCCGTACAAAAATGGCACTAATCTTGACATTCTTCTCGATACATTCAACAGTATTCATCCAGAAACCGAGTTCACATGTGAAACAGAAAAAGACGGATATCTGCCGTTTCTAGATGTTCTCCTATCAAGACGAACAGATGGCAGTGTCAGACGTGGTATTTAATGTAAAAAATCAAGGGTTGGTCAGTATACCTATTTACGATCATTTGTCTCTCTTATGTACAAAATGGACATAATCCGTACACTGGTATTTTGAGGCAGTAAGATTGGCACATCTAATACTTTGAACGCTGAATTAAGAATAATAGAGAACTCCTTATGTAAGAAGGGCCATCCTGAAAAGTTCGTAAAGGCTGTAACAATGAAAACAGCTGGAGAAAAGCGCCTTCAAATGGTGCTAAAGAGACGATTGTATCTAACCTTAACATTCAAAGGAGATGCAGATGCAGAAGCATTTACACTGAAACTGAGAAATCTGATAGAAAAAACCTTCTTTGCCGCTACAGCATGTATGAAATTTACCACTACCTGTATGATGCCAATGGAGTTGAAGGATAGGCTTCCGAATCTGGACATATTATAAATTTAACTTCTCGTGTGGAGATAGTTACATAGGTAGGAAGACTCAGTAAGCCCATCACCACCTCAGTGAACATTGTCCAACGTGGTTAGGCAAAGGAACAGTGAAAACCATCAATAGCTCAATACTCGCTCATCTAGTAGATACTGAGCATGAAATTCACGAAGTCCCATCACAATACCTCAAGTTTGTGAGCCTTTTATTGCTAAGCATAGCAGGAGCCTTAGCAATTAAAATTTTCGAACCTAATTTATGTATTCAGAAAATGCTTGTTTATTCCCTTTCCTTCCCATGGCTTTTAACTTCAACCCAGATATAATTACAATAAATTCATTCCCAGTCAACCGGCTAAATGTAAATGTTATCTCTGGTTGTACTCTGATCATTATCATTTTATACTTCGTCCTTAGTTTCATAATTGATCAATAAATTTCAGCATTTTATTATCTAATCGCTATGCGATACAATTCACTCACATACTTACAAGGATTGACTACTGTGAATATATATATATATATATATATATAAACTTCCCAAGATTTTGTTTCTGCTGTTATCGCCTTTCAAGTTGGTATTCATCATGAACTGACATCAACTGGAGGAACATCAGAAACCTGGGAGGACTAGACAACTGTTTCATCCTAGCCCGGGACTCTTCAGCAGTGCGTACCCATGACCCCAGCCCATCAGGGATCGAACCCAAGACCTTCAGGCCTAGTGGCCAGCACATTAACATTGAGTCACTGGGTAGGAATCCAATGGTCTATATTTTCAGCTTCTTTCATTTCACTATATAGCGCGACAGCCACCCAATGTCATCGTTCAGTATTCGTCCTCACAGCCACCAGATTTGCCCCACTGGTCACTTCTGAAGGATGAACCAGGTATCTAGTGTTCCTCCAACTGATCTCAGTTCATAATGAATACCAACTTGGAAAATCTCCAAACCCTACATACCTTCAAATTCAATTATCACCTTTACTATTATCTTCTAATTCATATACCTGAATTAATCGAACCATGTTGGTATCAAATGAGGAATATGTTAAAGTAATTCGTAAGTGTAAATGTAAAATCTGGCAAGAATTTATCAAAAATACAACGTATACGCTTCAAACTCTGTCTTCTAATTGTCGATAGACAGTCAAATTGCAGTGGAATTTAGACAATATGACACTGTAACAAAACTTAATCAATCTTCAGTGTCATCAGTGGGTGATATATATATACTCAGTCAAGGCTTCCTTGAAGTTTTTTTTCTTCTAACCCTAATCGGTTGTCCTATGGTGACAAACTTCTTATTCAAATCACTTTAAAGTAAAAACATCTGGCCTCCAATTACATTAAAAGTCAAGCTGTTGATTAGTGCGAAACATTTGATGAATGACTTTATGGTTTTCAATATTTTTATTGAACGATATCGATACGAAATTAGATTTTTTTTCTGAAAAATAACTGATAATAATGTTTCGAATTCAAGACGATACCTTGGAATTGAAGACAGGAGTAAAACAAGGCTGCCTAAAATCACCCATGATCCTCCTGATTGTGATCAACAGGACTGGATCATACAACAGACAACTGTGAGGAGCGAGAAGTGGGGGATATGGTGGACCGGGGAAAATATCCTAAAAGATTTAGATTTCGCCGATGACTTGCGTCCAATGTAACACAAACTTGAAGATCTACAGGCAAAATCTAACAACTTGACAGAAGATGCAGGGCAGCGAAGACGCGACTTCAATTGAACGTAGATAAGACTGAGGTGATGATGATACCCAAACAATACCAGTACCACCACAAACAAGAACAACAACAACAAAAACCAATCACCATCGACGGGAGAAACGTAAAGGAAGTAGTCTCTTTCACCTACCTGACCAGGCAGCATCGTTTCAACTACAGGCGGCACAGACGAGGATCTCAAAACCAGGATCGGAAAAGCAAGATAGGCGTTCACTAACCTAAAACCAGTGTGGAGATCTTCTACACCCAGCATTCTCAACACCAACGTCAAGTCGGTGCTTCTATATGGTTTAGAAACTTGACGAGTTATGGAAGGGATTTCCAACAAACTATAGACATTCATCAACAACTGCCTAAGCTGGCTCGATACTGAAGATCAGATAGCCAGAATAATCAGAATAAACAACAAGGAACTCTAGTTGGCAACGAACCAACGAACCAACCAGCAAATAAGGATACATACATGCATACACTGAGAAGGCTGATTGGGGACATCACGCACCAGGCCAGGTCGTCGAATGGAATGCAAAGGGGAAACGATAAGTTGGGCCTCCTAGGCTAGGGTGACATGGAGGAGATCGTGTTAGGGAGAAATGGAAGTTTCTGGGTAGTCGTGGAGCCAATTTATAAAGACTGTAGAGAACAGACGTGCTACTGAAGCCCGATGTACCACTAGGAACCCTGAGGGACAAATAATAATAATAATACAATAATTTCAAAGCTAAAAACATTATTGTTCACAAAGATTAACTTACTCCTGAATTTCCTGTCTCGTTTGAATGATGTTGGTGTTGATGTTGATAATGATGATGCTGCTGATGATGATGATGAGGTGGAGGTGGAGGAAGAGAAGGTGGTGGTGCTAGTTGACAAGGAGGAAAAGGTTGTTGATTCATCTGAGAAGATATTTCTTGAGTTGATGATATCTGTGTAAAACATGGATTTGATTGTTGAATATTTAATGGTGTTACATTTGTTACTGATTGAATTGTAGGAGGCATTTTGCTAACATTTACTGATTGATCATAATTCATAGGACTAGTATAACATTTTTGATTATTTTGTTGTTGAGGTTTTTGTTGATATTGATTTAATGTACGTGAATGAATAAAATTATTTGGACATATTGAATTTGGCACATCTGTTTGATACCTATTGTCTTTACTATTGTTATGAGTTGGATGACTAGTTAGCATATGATGATTAGGATTAGGATTAGGATTATTATGACATGTGATCATTTGACCTTGAGAGGAAAAATTCAAATGCTGTATACGATCGATTTTCACAGGTGACCTTGCAGATGACGGCATACTATTCGTACTATTATTATTATTATTACTGGTGTTATTAGAATGCTGATTTAAATGTAAATGACGAGGCATTGGTATACCAGATGAAGATGGTGATAAATTTCCTGAAGATGAAACTATGGATTGATTTAGTTGAGTATTACTATTAGTAGTAATATTATTATTGTTTGTTTTATCTAGAGAAAGCTTTGTTAATGTAGGTGGTATATTGTTATTATTCACCGGATGAGTAGTTGACTTTATTGATTTTTCTTGTTTTGGTGATTGAGAAGTTTGTCGATGACTAGATTTTGTCTTCAACGGTTTAATAATTAAGTCTAGATATGATGGAAATGAGGAAAAGAAAGAAGAAAACCAGGTAAATATTGTTATTCTACAGTTCAACTTTAAATATCAGCAGATAGTTTGGTAATACTGTGTGATTTTCAATAATATAAGCTAATAATTATCCACCTATCTATAATTCCCTGTTGTTATAATGGGCTGACAAAAAATAACAATATAATAACTGATACTCCTTATGGAAGACGTGGTTATTATGTCACAGTGGTCTTGTAGATAACGCTTTAGCGTTTGAGGTGTCCAGGTACATTCACCTGATGAATCCTAAGTAGGACGAAGTGAGTCCTCTGGATTCCACTGTTGGTCACTATGAGGTTAGTTATCCTCCAATCTATTTAAATATTCAATTGACAAAACCAGTAATATAATGTTCCAGTTCAAGTTGATATGAAGTGAGATAGCTCAACTAGTAAATATCCCTATAAATGATAACAGGTAGGATAAGATCAGTGTAATATCGAAGAATAATTTGGAACAATGCTTGTACCCAGTATGACAGTGGTCTTATATATGCACTGTGTTAACAAGCTGTAGCAATTAAGTTGGATTCATAGTAACATGAACGAGTTCTCTATTTATCTTTTCACTCAAAACATTACAACTTACCTCAATTTTACTTTCTTAGAAACTGCCTAAACAGTGAACTACACTATCGAAGCTCCAATGGCAGCACACACACACACACACACATGAAACGAACACACCTGGCAAGTGTCAGCAATACACCAATTCAGACTCCACTTCAATGAAGGTATAATTTAAACCATTTAGCGCAATTCAAATAATGGACATTTTCAAGGTCAATCACTTGCCTTTGTGTGTGTGTGTGTGTGTGTGTGTGCATCCGTATACGCTCTATCGTTGAAACTTACAGTTGGCATCTGTGATTTCTATTCTCAAATACTAAAAATAATTTCTTGTAAATGGTCTGTAATTTACAGTATATAGACCCGAACTAAAGTAGGTAGAGTAGAGGTTGAACACAGAACCGTCTGACTGAAAGCTAATGAGATATGTCGATGGGCAATGATGATACTAAATCTTACAGTAAACATGTTTTGTCATCCTGTCACAGAGGATCTTCAATCGCTGACTCCTAGCATCTCTAGGACCCTAGCCAGACCCACATGAAATAATCTAGACAAATAATATAGTGCGATTTGTATCAGTCACAGCAGATATGATTGCCAGGGAAACGACTAATAGCCACATAACTACCAGATAAACACTCTGAAGATCAAAGTGAAAATTAGACGTAATAGTCCGTTAGGTTAACAAACCATCCAACTTTTTGTCTTTTGAATGAAAATATTTATTCTGTTGAATATGTTTTACCTGTATATTTCAACTGTTACTGGTTGATGAGTGAAGGTGAAATGATAGCGTGAGTCGCACCAGGATTCGAACCAGTGGCATCTAGGCTTCCGTGTATCGTAATGAAACTCATTCCTGTTCGGTCAACATTCTCTTTGCCCTTCCGTCCATCTTTTTTACTTGTGACCTTCATTCCCACTGGTTACCTTTATCTCTCTGATTGATTGTATTGATGCATGGACTGATCTCGGTCATTTGGCTGGTTTGCCCTTTTGAGGCATGAACTCCTGATGCTGACATTACACTATTTGTACATTGCCTAGAGAATGATTGGTGATTCTTTATTTTATTTGATTCGATGATTGTCCTCCCGTGAAAGGTTATAATTACTGACATTTTGGTTACAATCTTTATTTACAAATACAGTAAAACCTCGACAATAAACCCTAACCTTTTTACTTGAACTTTTGAACTTGTGCACATCACTTTGGCTTCTGTCTAGGATCGCTGCTCAGATTTAACATATGTAACAGAAAGGTTTTTAAAAATTAGTGCATATTTCAGGCACTTACGGAGAAGTCTCTAAAGTCCCGGGTATCTACCTGTACCTCCTTATCAGGGATGCTAGTGAGTGCCCGGCCTAGGTTATTCTGCTAAGACCAACCATATCTCACACTCCTGACTCAACTAATACTAAGCTCCCTCCCACTATGATAAAACGGCGGCGACTAGGTATTTCAATCGTTACTGCCTTTGTGGTGGTAGCAGATTCAAGCGTAAATCGGCGCCTGCTTCCGAAGACCCATTTTCCAGCCAGCAGGGATTATAGAAGCTTCATCACTTTGAGTTACCAGACCGGACCTAATCACTGGCCTACAACCCATACCAGAGATTTAGGCAAGCATTTTGGCAAACTTGATCCCATTACCATGTCACTTGGCGGAGAGCCTACAGCCTTTATCATGCCTCGTGTGCATCGTGAGATGTACACCATCCCGTCACTCACGAAATATCAAGCAACATGTCGCAATAAGAAACACCATGAGATTACAGGTTACGTACCTGGATAGGTATTCTCCATCATTACCTACTCTGAAGTGGGATAGTTCACATCAAAACCCTAGAGCCGGAAAGAAAAACAAAGAGTTGGTTTGAAGGTTGATACAAGAAGTTCCACCGTCATCCAAGTACAGTCACCCATCTCGTAAACACGTGAGTCATGGAATACGACTTAAAGTTGCACCATCAGCTAGTCATTTGGTCAGAAGCTCAAGATACTTACGTCACTAATTAGATGACGAGGCATTCGGCTACCTTTAAAGGTTCATACTCATGAAAATGAAGTCAACACTACTTATAAGTAACTTAAATCAAATAACTAAAATTAGCCGATAAGTATATTTATGTAATTATTTCAATTGATCAGGTGATTGACTAGCTGGGTATTTAATTCAGAACAAACAAAAGTAAAATACAGGGACAATATAGAACTGCGAAACTGGAAACAAAGCACTTAGATTTTGATCAATTTCAATGACTAATTCTTATCTTTTATTTTAAGCCTTTTTATGGCGTCCAACTATTTGAGGTATTTTTAATACTTAGCCCACGTTTGAAAGGTTATTATAAACATGAATTTCACAAACAGAGGATAAAAATGGTCGTCAAATCTGTTGCATATTCTAAGTAGGATGCATATCCTAGAATTGGATTAGAGTGTTTGATTTTCATAGTCTCCGGTTGAAACACTTTCTGTTTCATAGAACTGTGACTCAGTCATTAGCTTAAGTATTTGACTAGCAAACTGTGGGTCTTGAGTTCGAATACCGTCCGATTCACTTTGACTTGAGCCATCCGGTAGTATTATAAGCCCTCAATATCAAATATGGTTCATAGTCTAGTATAGATGTGTTGTGTCCTGGTGATAGGAGTGTTGTCAAGTAGTCACGAGAGTGGATGTACAGTTGGGAATTCCTCTACTAACATAATAAAGGCGAATTGGTTAGCAATGAAATAGATGGAAAGATGAGGCAGAAGAGATCAGAGGAAAGCGTAACTAGAAGACGGATACCAATGGCTTCTGTCAAAAATATATTATCATTATTATTATTTACGATTAAGGTAAGGACATAGGGTAGCTTGTAATGCAAAAACAAAAAATTTAATTTGGAGGTTTTGCGGAGATTTATTTATTTATTTCAGGTTGTTCATCATGGACTGGCACCAGTTGGAAAACCACTGGAAACCCAAGAGCACTAGACAGCTGTTTCGTTCTAGTAGTGAACTCCTCAGCAGTGCGCACCCATGACCCGCCCCTCCAGGGGTCGAAGCCAGGACCTTCAGGTTTCGCTTTACCATTGAGTCAGCGGGTCGGAATGCAATCGTCCACATTTCCTACTTCTGTTGGCTCAGCGACGGCACTAGATGCAGGTGTGTCTATACCATGAAGTAACAAAAGTAGATGTGAACCACTAGATACAGACCCAGCAGCTCAATGGTAACGTGATGGTAGTGGAACACGAAGGTCTTTAGATTCGAACCCCGGTGTGACGAGTTCCTGGGTGTATACTCCTGAGGAGTCGAATAGTAGGACGAAACGGCTTCTCAGTGCTCCATGATGTCCACTGTTTCTCTAACTGATGTCAATTCATGATGAAAATCAACATGAAAACGAAAAAATTAATTTGTAGAACCTCGTACACAAATACATTGGTTCAACTTGTCACACTTTACATTAGTGTGAACAAGTGGATATAAAAAGACTGATATCAAATTCGACAATATAGTGTGAGAGAGTGAATACATCTCCGCCATGTGGCCAATTTTCAGCTGTGTATTCAAAAGACTGCAACTATTGATTCCTATGGTCTTCGAAACCCCACTGAGGTAGTCAACATCTTCACACTTGGCTCAGACCAACCATCGAAGAATCCATAGGCTTGTGCCACATCTCGGTCTTGCCGTATCAAACCCTCTTTCAACTTAATCCAACTTCAGACATACGTTACGTCTGGTTAAGTCTCAGAGTCTTTAAAATAATAAATTTCAACGTTTCGTAAAGAAGTCTGGTTCGAGCCCCTAAATATGTCAACTTTTCATTCGGTACCCAGCGTTTTTGAAACTATCCGTTGAAATATTGACCAGGATTGATGTAAACTAATCCGACTTCCTTTACCATGTCATGTCGAGGTAGGCGTTTGGTCCCAATGCACAACCTATTTCCAAACTATATCAGTCAACGAAGTATCACAATCTCATTGACTGACTTACCTGTCTTGCCTAGTACCTGACCTCACCTGACCTCAACACTGCTCACACGATAATTCCACCAAACACCAGCAATGAAGCGAAACCACCTATGATCGAAACCCTGTAACCGCTTCATATTTTCAACCTTCAAACACCATTTCTCACAGCCGTATAAGAGGATAGAACGGACTACAGTATAGTATATTAATACCTAATAGGTAAGTCGGATGTCTCACCAGTTGGCACCACGGATGGCGTAAGCCGACAAATGTCAAAATCGCCTTCTATATCTCAACTGAGATTTCATCATCACTGATGACGATGTTAATTTTATGTTGTGTCAGCGTGAAAACAGTTTTCAAGGTAAACGATGATTCGATGATGACCTCACTTCGATCAGTTACAGTGGGAA